GACCAACACAATCAAATTGGACTAATAAATTTGCAAGTGATTGTTTTGTAGTTCAATAGGATGCAAGACGTGACTTGGACGAAGGTGACGTGATGATCCGATGATCAACACCATAAGTAAGATCCTAGGAGCACAAGAGAAAACCTAAGATATCAAACAAAGTCCAAGCACGAAGATAGAAACCAAGCCACTATGCAAGATCGTGAAGAAACGAGCTCACGTGACCGTCTCATGACTCCGATCAAGAGGCTCCCAGTCGGACGCTAGACCGGAACTTTCCATTTGGTCGAGTACAGGACTAGCGGCGAATTACATTAGTTCAGCAAAATGGGGCGGATTCATTCTAACATTTCCGGTGTTCTTTTGTTTCATCCCCAACGGCTACTTTCTCAGTGAGGCTTATAAATAGACCCCCCAACCGGCCAAATTAAGAGGGTGGAGCTGAGGAAACATATCAAGGGTGTTGATATATCATTTTAGTGATCTCCACTTGCATAGTGCTTAGTGATTCATTAGGTGATTAGCGTAGGTGCTTTACGAAGTGCTTAGGTTGATTAGACCACCGCTTATGTGCTTGCTCTAGGTTTAGGCCTAGTGTTTAGTGAGGTTTGCATACCTCTTACCACTCGGTGCTTGCGCACACCATTGTTGTACATTGGAGGGGCTTGTAGTCCTACGAGATCACACCAACCGCGTTTGTGGTGTGGCCACCACCGTGTACCGAAGGAAATAAGGCCCGCGGCGTTTCGGCCAGAAGCTTGATAGTGAAGACAGCGGGGAGCATCCGGGAGAGGCTTACCGGAAGGCACGTCGAAGACCCACTTGCGTGTGGGAAAGGTCCGAGGCTATCCACGGAATTACCCGACCTGGAGCTTGGCCCTTACGAGGGATTCCTTACGAGGAGCTCCAACGAGGACTAGGAAGAATCTTGCGTGCTTCTCGATACCTCGATAAAAATAACAGAGTCGTCGATGGGAGTTTGCACATCTCTACCTTGCTCTTTAGCTTTCGCATTTACATTGATTGTATTACTCTTTTTGCGGTAGAGATAGCAACACATTAGCAAAACCGAAGTTGCACATTTAGATAGTTTATCTTTTGCATAGGTTTTGCTAAAGTTAGAAAAAGAGGCCATAGTTAAGAGTTAGATTTTTAAGTTGCCTAATTCACCCCCTCTTAGGCGTCACGGTCCCCTACAGAAAGGTTTATTTGCTGAGCTTTGTGAAGATGATTCTTGCATTAATTTATTTTGTGATGTGCTATATGTCTCACTAAAGATCGATGTTACATGAGAGAACGAAGCACATTGATATCAAATACCATTATGTTCAATGTTGTTGCTCAAGGTAAGTTGAAGGTATGCAAGATAAGCACACATGATAATCCTCTATGTGGGCCAGAAAGTTTAAGCTTTGATCAAGCTTAGTTGGTATATTATCTATTTAAAGAGGCTATTTGGCCTGGAAGTATTTCTTTTTGTTGTTTTGAAAGGTTCGTTTTATGCTACAAGAAGGAATTTGTCTCGGTGGAGTTTGTTGAGTTGTGATCCAAATTCGCATGTATCTAACCGGCGAGAAGCGAAGCGAGCCGCTAGGAGGCTTGGGCGAGAATCCCATCATGTTTCCCTCACCTAGGATTTAGATTAGGGGTTTTCTATCTCTATATATACTTCCTGTAAGCCGTCATCTTGGGATAAGAAAAGTTATAAATCCCCGACGTTTGTCACCTCACCTGATATAGTGAAGATTTGCTGGCTGGTGCCCGTGGTTTTTCCCTTCTTCCTTGGGAGGGTTTTCCAAATTAAAATCTCGTGTCCCATGTGTTTGATCTACTGTTCTTTGTCGTTTATATTGCCTATCATTTCTAACAGTTACCACCGCATCACTCATGTTATGGCTTAGCCAACGGAGCGTGTTCGCGTCACAAAACGCCTGCCGCCGTATGTCTTGCCTTTTACTTTTTTTAAACTCACAATATGTGTACACATAGTCACTTATTTAAGTTGAGTCAACCTCTCCTGTTAGTTTTCCTAAATCGGATTGATTTTTTATTCGCTAGCATTTACTCCCACGTCGTGGAGTTCTAGAAAACTTGATGTTTTAAGAATGAAAGATTATCCCAAAAAATTGATGTTTTAACACTTGGACACTCTATTGGGTCAGAGCAACTCCAGTAGAACATCTACTTGAACACCTATATCTATATATGGATGCCCAAGTAAAAAAAAACAGGTCCAACAGGGTCTCTACCAGATCCCCAATTTAGAGTGGGCACCCAAATCAACCCTCAGGCCCCATTCCTGTGGCCTGTGCGAGAATGGGGGCTCACCCCTCGGACCACATCCTGCTGTTCCGGCAGTTTTCCTCCCCACACCCTCCCTCCACCGCAGGGCCTCTCTCCAGCGCTGCTCCTCTCTCCTCCTCCCTGCGGCAGCGAGCTCTGCGCCCTCCCCTGGCCGCAGCCATCCATCCCTGCTTTCCGCTTCTGCTCGCTGCTGCGGAGAACTGCTGACCCGCCGCTGCTCCTTGCGGAGAATCCCTGATCCCTGATCTCCTGGCCACTCGTTTCCCGTGTATGTGTGGTGAATGAGGGGAAAACAGATTTGAGCCAGTGACGAGTGGGTCCCCGATGTCATTGTCTGCCGATTTCGATTTGGGGCCTTTGTTTGCATGGTGCTAGCACCCAAATAAAAAGTAGGGCCCCCTGATTTGGGTGTCCCTGCTCAAGTTGCTCTTGTGTCAACTTGATATTGCGGCTTGCATGTCTACGTGCATTCCTTTTAATTATCGACTTGATGAGCACTAGAATTCATAAACACTCAATTAAATCCAAAATAACTAGCTCATTGTTATTGTCACAGGTAATGAATTATACTACATTTCATTGCAACAACAGACAGGCATGTTTAATCTTTTTTAGTATGGGTGGAGTACACGTCATCGGATTTGCCTATATAATATCACTGCGACGTATGGAACTGCAGCCTTCAGAGAGAAAGCTAGCTGAGAGAGAAAGCAAGGCAAGATGGCCGGCGGTGAGGGTGAGGGCGAGGCTGCGGCGCCGTTTTTGGAGACGAAGCCCCAGGTGTACTTTGACGGGTGCCCCGGTTGCGCCATGGAGCTGAGGAAGGCGGCGAATCCATGATTTACAAGCATGTCATGATTTACAAGCATGTGTAGCCATTATTGGGAGTCCAATTAAGAGCTAAAACAGCACCCAAGACTAGCAATTTGTTGCCACAATTGTAATTTATGATTGGTGCAATGCATTTGTTATGTATGAGATGGATGGAGCAACATTGCACAAAACAAAGTATATTAGGAAAAACTAAAAGGGCAGAAAAAAGGCAAAATAACATTAGTAATATTCTATTTTGTGTATGTAACATTTGATTTTTTTGTGACAAAAATGAAAGCATGGTAATATGTTGATGTTTTGTTCATTTCGGGCTTATTCGACAAAAAATCCAAACAGTATTTTTTCTCTCACACTAAAACCAAATTAGGTAATAAGCCAATTCAGCCGAAACGAACATGCTGGTTGTTTGTGCATAGCTTTTCTTTTACGATACAAATGTACATCAATACACCTTTTTTGCAGTTGATGTGACTGCTGATTTGATAACTGAAAATAACCATAGCATTAGTGCTAGTTCATCAAAACTTTTCAAACTTACTAGATTATTTAGTTAAGTAGTGCAAGTTAACTATTACAACTTCTATCATGGAAAATCAAAGGCCCTAAGCTCCCATTTCTGTAACTGGAATGATACATTTTTTAACTATTCATGATGAACAAGTAAGGCAAAGAGTTTCTATGTTTGTAATGTTGTTATATATTAGGAAAAAGAATTCCACGGACATACTCATAAATCTTTTCATCTGGTCTTCTTGTGGTAGATTATTGTAGATATGGAGAATGCTAATTACTCTTGTAATGTACAACTTGCTCCAGTGTCCACAAAGTGAAAGTTTCCTCTGGAATAGGCAGCACAATATGTAATTCGTCCTCCACATTGACCAGATAGAACAATTTTTTGTGGCTTCTTACTATAATATCCTTTAGATGACCTTTTGCTAGATATAGGTGCCTACAACATCCATTGGTTATGGTGATTAAATAAGCTTCACAAGACCACAAATGGTATGGTGTTGTCCATTCTCTCTGTGTCACAAACAAAAATTTGGGTTGACAAAAAAATACCTTTTTTGCAAACATAGTTGAATCCTAAATCTGCTCTTTCTCATAATCAAGTTACCCCAAATGGCCCACCCAAAATTTTGGGTTTAGACAAATATATAGATCATCACCAACAACTCCCCACTCTACATAAGTCCTAGGGCTAAGGAGAAGAGGACTTTAACCATTTACTCTCTTGCCCACTTCTCTCTCAAACCTTCCCCTCTCTAACTTCGATGACGAGAGATGGAGGGAGAGCTAAGCAGAGGAATTTTTGCATAGTTTGGATATGGTTTTGGTTGGTTTGTAAAAGAAATGTTTTCGGGTTCAAGGGTGGCAAGACTGATCAACTGTACTTCATTATGAGCAGACTGAATTCATCCTAAAATAAACCTCCACTTTCACTCATATTCCTCTGTGTCAAATCTCTAGATGGTATTGCTCTCATTTACAAGAGAAATTCCCTTTTTTTGTCGACGTATGGCACGCCAATGTCTATCCCCATGGCACTACATGGCTGCAGGAATGGAGAGTAGGCCTACAAGGCGCTCCCAAGCCAATAGAAAGACCTTCTGCTCCTGGTATGGTCTTCTGTCATAGAAAACCAAAGGCTATAACGCCACTTTCTGTAATAGAAGTGATGCATCTTCTGTAAACTTCATGATGAATCTGTAAAACAAGCCCTTCCATGATTGACATGTGGCTGTATATTAGATTATTAGGAGCCTGGAGTGCTGGGAACATATTCAGACATCTATTCATATGGTCCTGCTGTTGTAGGTCAATGTAGCTTTCAAGAATGCCTGATACATGTTAGCCTGTTACTCCTGTGATTGTGTAAGTTCTTCCACTGTCTGCAAAGTGAAAGCTTCTTCTGGACTATCTAGTGCAGAAGATAACTGTTTCTCTGCAATAGTCACACTGGACAATGTTTTCTTGAAGGTGTTTATAGCATCCTCTGGATCCCCTTTTGCTATAGATGCCTGCAATTTCCATTAGTGGATGGTTAGTGAATAAGCAGCCACAAGAAAACTGGATACTGTACCCATTCTCTACGCTTGAAATATACTTTTAGAACTAGATTACTGTGTGTGTGAAGTTGATGTTACTAATAACAATTCATACATACCAAGTGTGTTTCATCAAGTTTGAAAAGCCAGAATCTCCATTTCTTAGACACTTCTCCATCAATACAAATACAAATGTTAGTCCAGCCTTCATGGTGGAATTCCAGTCGACGAAACCCAAACCCAACTCCAGCACCTACTGCTTTAACAAATGCTTCTTTCAGACACCAATACCTATAAAGAACAGAGTAATGTACATACTGAATATGAAGTAACAATGCACATCATCATTAACATTGACATGATTTTCAAACAATAAGCTAATAAAACTCATCCGAAAATCAGAATGGCATCATGCTTAGCACTGAAAGTACAGGTATACATTTTTTTTGTAAACAGAGAACTATTGCTTTAAAGATGGGGGAAAAGGTTTCTTTCAACTTTTCTGATGTAGTTCAGATAACTGAATGAGGAGCTGTGCAAGAGGTACACTTTATTGGCAAAAAACGCAAATCCAAATTTGAAGCCACAGGTAGCTCAACTGATTTGCAACATCAGGAATATTTCAGCTAGTTATGAAGAAATTTTATAAACAGTACAGTACTTTGTCGTTATAGATATGGCATAGATGATTTCCAGGATCCACAGATAAATGTTTTAGCTCCCAACATATATGAGGAAATATACCGTGACTGAACTGCGGATTCTGTGAATGCATATGCCATCTACCAATAAATTCCTGAACAAACATTGTACCTGTAGAACTCTGTCAGCACGTCCCTGGGAGTGCCAGCACCAACGATGCAGTTCCACTCATGGTCAGTGAGGTACGAAGAGAAGTTGCTGACGAACTCGGCAGCGGTTTCTCCCTGGGGCTCAGAAACAGACACAATGTCAAGGCCAACAAGGCAAAGTGGTTCCGATACAATGCCAACGTAGTCCCCCTGGTGCGAGGTGCTGAAGTTGAAATTCGGGAAGTCTGAACAATTATTCTGCTGCAAGATGAATCCATCCAGTAGTAGGTCAGTGGCAGGATGCAACTGACCAGACAAAAACCTGCAGGGGTGATGCCGATTGCATATATATACGATGGAATTAAGGAGAATTTGACAGATAGTGCATACAAGGTAAGGTTTCCCCTCGGCTGTGCGGCGTATGTTGATCTGGTGGAACGAGATGCGGAGAAGATGGTGCACGAGCGAGTACTGCAGCAGACGACTGACGAGCGCCCGCTTCCTGTCGTCCTCTTTCACGAACCTGCAAGCGCACGCCTGAAACGAGCTCAATTCGATGTCAAGCTAACTGCACCGTGTGCAAATTGGTGGCGCGAACAACAGTGAGGTTGTGAAGCTCCCATCATCAGAGGAGGTGAGGACGGACAGCTTATGGGGGCAGCAGGTACGGTACCTGGCGATGGCGGGGCGCTCGTGCGGCGGGAGGAGGGCGGCTGCAGCGTCGAACTGGTCGGGGGAAGGCCGCCAGCTGCTGATGTCGACAAGCCACCGCCGCACCCCGCTCTCCTCCTCCGTCATCCCCCAACCCCAAGACCGGCCCAGTCCAGAGCGGAAGAGTCGTGGAAGGGGAGGAGCCGAGGAGGCGGGGTAACCGATGGAGTCTACGACGGCGACGGCGCCCGCGGCCCGCCTTCTGCTAGATCGGTCTCCGGCCGGAGGACCTCCTGTCGGCTTCGCCGGCCCGGACCGCACCGCCGTAGTCTCGCCGGCCTTCCGCGCCGCGGGCGACGCCGTGTGGTCCCGTCTCCTGCCGCGCAACCTGCCCCCGCTCGCCGACGGTAAGCTCCCCGCCGACCCGCAGTCCAAGAAGGCGCTCTTGAGCCCCCGCCTCACCGGAGTCCGTCGCCGGAAGGACGAGTGTCTTTTTTTTTTCCGATTGCGGAAGGGCGAGTGTCACGAGGGATAGGAGGCGGAGGGGCAAAACGGACTTTTTGTGTTTGTTGCCATGGTAGTTGGTGTTGGTACCACGTGATATCCGCGCGTCGCTGTAGGGGAATCATAGAATTATAAAGGAGAAGACGATTTGTAGAGCTTGAAATTTTATATGCAGCGTTCATCGTGATAGCATAGAGAATAGCGGTAGAATTGAGGGAAAATTTCATATAAACAATGGATAATAATGTAAAATAAAATGAGACAATAATATCTTGGTTCACTTTTTTTTAAATCATTCTAAAAAGTTCATCCCAGTTTAATTACAAAACAAAATGTGTTATGTTCAGAAATTTAGCACATGTGGCATTGACATCACAATTATGTGTACTGATAGACATGACAATAAATTGTAAGAGCTTTTGAGATACTAACTATTGGGAAACTGTGAATGTCTATGTTGCCAGCATTAAAACACTGAACTTGGTGCAATGATAAATTCTAATGGCATCTTCAGTAAGTAATTGTTCTTCTCTACATGCAGAGGGAAATACCCCATTGTGAAATAATCCTTAGCTTCTGATTTTGGCATAAAATCTCCACTCACGGAAGACCATGGTCCATCTTCACTAACTGAGAAATCCTGACAAAACATCTTCAATTGAATTATTGAAAATGGTTAGTTATCTCATGATTAAAGAAAAGATGTATGTGACACAAGAAAAAAGATCTAAATACCCCCGCGAAGCTGTAACTCTTGTAGGAGATGAGGAAAAGGTAGTGTATGAAAGTTTTTCAAGTGCAAGAATTAGAACCATCGCAATCACCTGCTAGAGCTTATCTAGTGCAAGTAGAACCATCGGCATCACCTGGTGAAGTTTATCAGGTTAGGGTCAGAAAAATCTTTCACGGACTGACCTGATAAATGGAAATTGCACAAATGAGAATAAAAATTGTACCACCTATATCTGAAAGCAAGAATTATAGAAATCTAAATTACTAATGACTGACACTGATAAGGAACTTCATGTAGACCTGCTAGCGGGATATCACCGAGGGCATCCGTAATGGTTGGCTCATAAGCTAGCTCTAAGTATTTCTTTTATATTTTAATAGAAGAGAGAAAAGATGACTCTTAATCAAAAGCTAGACTCGTACACACGTTATAAGAACATGTGAGAGTGTCATGTGGGTCTAATTATACGCCATTATTAAAAGCTAATACTATTGGAGATGTTGGCTTAGAATTAGCAGCTGGCTTTTACTGTTGCGGGTGCCGTGAGTAGGTCGTGAATATCACCTGTGCTAGTTTGGTGCAGCTAGCGATCTAGCCTTCTGCAGGTTTCAGGATGGCTACGTAAGAGACAGAACAAATGACTAACGAACATGCCTTTGTCGAAATGTCATTGAGAAGGTTCGTATATAAAGGGAGGGGACCTCTGTACGTGGAAAAGATGGACAGACGGAAGGAGACCGATGGGCAGAAACTCAGAAATGACTGTTCAGTTTTTTAGATGCTTCAGTCACGTGCATTTATGGCCACTGTGGGGCGGTAGTAAAAGCCAACATGCAACAGCATCAAGGTGAACAGACAGAGGCAGAGGTGCGTTCACGGTCCATAGCATCTCTCCGATACCTCGTATCCTCGTAAAACTATCATATTATAATAACTATGCTATTTTCTTACTCTAATAGTTTTCTAATACCTCTTTTTCTTTTTTTGTGGCCACTAATATTTTTCTCATCTCTCCTCAAAGAAAAGAGAGATACAACTCTCCCAATACCATAGAAACCATCTCAACTATCACTTTTCATAGGTATTGGGGGAGACATATTGGGGCATTACTGCAGCAACTCCCGCAATATTAGCAAAAGATGATATTGGGTTTTTCCAATACATGTATATTGAAAAACTGCTGGAGATGCTCTAAGAGTCTAAGGGCATGTACAACCCACAGACGGCTTGATGTCTGTATGATGACATCGTACTATATATAGACAGCTAAACATATTGCATGTATAGTGGGTTGTCTGTTTAGTTGTCTGTTAATTATTTAATGTCTACGTGTAGTCATGATCAAGCCTAAATATGATTCATGTATATCATTGTGTTGCTTATTGATAAAAAAAAGATTAAGCCTAAATAAGACAACCATTGCTACAAAAGATCAAGCATAAACAAATTAGAAATATATTAAAAATAGATGCAAAACTAAAGAAAAAACAATGACAAAAAACAAAAGTATATGAAAATACCATATTGCTCTATATCTTCCTATCCTCTACCTCTACTCACTCGTGACCGTGTGGTTCTTATCTCCGTTTTTTTTCTCTTCCTATCTCTTCTGTATTATCTCTAGCATCTCCTCCATCATGGTTTGACAAAATTTCAGTGCTCGGCCTTGCTTGGGCGATGAGCAGTGCGGCGAGCTCCCCGCACCGGCCTTGAAGCCGGCGATTCCTCGCTCCTCGGCCTGCGTACAAGTACTACCGACAAGCTCGTGGCCACTCACCGCCTCCGAATAGTCACTTCGCCAGCCATGAACAGCAGTGCGACCAAAAGCTGCAGGTGGCGTCGCTCATCAGAAAGAGCTACACCATCATGCGCCTGGACCTTGCCTCGCAGGGATGTCGCTCGACTCGCTCATCTGCAACCCACCATCTACCGCACTCAATCCAGAGAATTTGGCTCTCGGAGTCGACGATTCATACAACGTGCGGCGAAGGCGTCGGTTTGGCGTGGGAGCACGAGCCGATGCCGTCGTTTCACCAAACAACGGCTTGCATCTCTCTTCTTTGAATGCAGTTCGCGAGGGAGTATTTTGCAAAAATTACATCATACAGACGGTACTTGAAAGCCCGTTGTACGTGCCCTAAGGGGCTTCGGCTGCTGAAGAACTTGCGGTGGTGGGACCCCTGGATGACGTGGTTTCACGAAATCACATGAAAATAGACTAGTGGGGTACTCCTATTTAGGTATAGTAGATACATATTATTATATTAACTAGATACATGCTCGTGTCATAAGTTTTTGTCTACGTCTACAGCAATGTACGTGGTAGCAGCTTAGACAAACTTATCTAGAAATTTATAAATCTAATTATATAAAAAAATATATAAAGCATGTTCAAAAAAAATTATCACCTATACTATATCGTGTTGTCTTGGACTGCTGCTTCCACATATTGGAGATGTGCTTCGGGGTGATTACAAAATCATCACCTCCCACTTCTCTCAACGTCTGTCTTGCAGCCTGGATCGGCATGGCTGCCTAGGGCCTTCCCCCAGGCACGGTGCAACATGGCCTCTCTCTTGACCCGTTCACGTGACGCGGTGGCTTGCTCGCCCACGCGTTCGGTCGAAACTAGCAGCGGTGAGGCGGCCCCGTCCATGCGCACGACGGCAGGCGGCGGCGCGCGCGCAGCGGTGACGCACTTGGCTTCCGGAGGACTCTTGCTTGCGTGGTTGGTCAGTCGAAGGAGCGGAGCAGCTGAAATGTCTTAACGGCCGGAGGGAAATGAATAGTTTATTGAAAATTTCTATAATAACATTTAATAAAAATATTAGATAATTAAATGACGAAGCGAGTGTCACGCTAGCCTACTAAAAATACAAGTCACTTACCACAATTTTAGTGACTATAATATCTAAACACACAAAGCATATGCCACTACACTAAGTTAGTGTTCTCTCAAAGACTAACTAAAGAACCACACTAATCACTAGACCTGACACAAGCTTACTCTGAAAACTAATTACACTAAAGAGCAAAACAACACTAGAAATATAAATACAAGAGAGGGGATGTGATGGTTATACCACCATGTCGAGAAATTGAGCCGATCATAATATGATCACAATCAATCACAATGAATACCAAGAAATTCTCAGACAACGATGACATAAGATTTTTTATCGAGATTCACATTTTTATCGGTAAGCTAGTCCTCGTTGTAGCGATTCACTCACTTGGAGGTTCACGCGTTAATTGGCATCACAAGCCAAACCTGTAACCGGATGCCGCACAGCCAATACAAGATGAGGATCACACAAGCCACAAGCAATCTATTAGAGTATCTTCGCCTCTCCACCGAGAAAAGGTTAAGAACCCCTCATAATCAATACAGTAGTAGGTCACTGGCAGGATGCAACTGACCAGACCAGACAAAAACCTGCAGGGGTGATGACGATTGTTTGCATATACGATGGAATTAAGGAGACTTTGACAGACAGTGCATACTGGGCCGCGTTTAGTTCGGCCGATTTGGCGCCGGCCGAATCACTGTAGCTACACTGTAGGTACAACGTTGTTTTGTTTTGTTTTTATTTGGTAATAATTGTCCAATCGTTGATTAATTAGGCTCAAAACGTTCGTCTCGCAAAGTATAACCAAACTGTGCAATTAGTTTTTAATTTCGTCAACATTTAATACTACATGCATATATCGCAAGTTTGATGTGACGGAAAATCTTCTTTTTGCGTAGTACCCAATTCTGGAAAATGGGGGAACTAAACATGACCTATATACGGTTTCCCCTCGGTTGTGCGGCGTATGTGATCTGGTGAAACAGGATGCGGAGGTGGTGCACGAGCGAGTACTGCAGCAGCCGACTGACGAGCGCCGGCTTCCTGTCGTCCTCTTTCACGAACCTGCAAAGAAACGAGCTCAATTCGATGTCAAGCTAACTGCACCGTGTGCAAATTGGTGGCGCGAGCAACAGTGAAGTTGTGAAGCTCCGATCACCAGTGGAGGCGCACGTGAAGGTGAAGCAGAGACGGAGGGGGAGGAGATGAGGACGGGCAGATTATGGGGGCAGCAGCAGGAGGTACAGTACCTGGAGATGGCGGGGCGCTCGTGCGGCGGTAGGAGGGCGGCTGCAGCGTCGAAATGGGCGGGGGAGGGGCGCCAGCGGCTGATGTTGACGAGCCACCGCCGCAGCCCGCTCTCCTCCTCCGTCATCCCCCGCCCCCAAGACTGGGAGAGGAAGAGTCGTGAAGCGAGGAGCAGAGGAGGCGGGGGAACCGATGGAGTCAACGACGGCGAAGGCAACCGCCTGCTGCTAGATCGGTCGCCTCCAGGAGGACCTCCTGCCGTCTTCACCCGCCCGGACCGCGCCGCCGCGATCTCGCCGGCCTTCCGCGTCGCGGCCGACGCTGACGCCGTCAGCTGGTCCAGCTCCCTGCCGCGCGACCTGACCCCACCCGCCGACGGTGAGCTCCCCGACGACCCACAATCCAAGAAGGCGCTCTTCAGCCCCCGCTTCGCCAGAGTCTGTCGCCGGAAGGACGAATGTCACGACTCCATGCGCGAGCCGAGGATGCCTGGTGGGACGGTGGGAGTGAATAGGACGGGGAGGGGCAAAACGGACTTTTTGCCTTTGTTGCCATGGTAAACTGTTTTGTGTCACGGGGAGGGGCAGGAATAGCACCTCTGTCAGGGTGACAGCTCCACGAACACTAGCCAAGTTCAAGGCTTCTCTCACTCAACCTACGTCATGTTTAAGCCACGTGAGTGGTTTGTGGTTTAATTTGAATGCACTATTGAATAGATAGCTCAATTTGTGGGGAAAAGAAGATATGCCAAAGTCAACTAAAAAACAACGGAAATGCTTATTACTGCGTGCGCTGTGCACAGGATCTAGTGGCGCGGCACGCGCACTCGCCTTGGCCATCCGATGCGCGCTTGCATCCACCTGCGCATGCCCTCTTCTTCCTCGCCGCGGCCAAGTGGTCGGAGAGCACCAGAGATGCTAGAGTGCCGGAGCTCACGCCACCGAGGCCGCAACACCACCGGAGATGGAGAAGATGCTGCCCACTCCAGCGACTGCACCACCGCCGCCCCACCAATGCTAGGGTTCCGGCGAGCCACGCTGCTTCTTCTTCTCCAACTCCGATGGGTATAAAATAGTCGAACGGCCAGGGAAGGCAGGTAGGGCAGGCGGTGGGGAAGGTCGACGGGCGGTTTAGGAGAGCTGGCGGCGGCAACGGCGGCCAGGTCAGGGAGGGGCGGGTGCGCCATGGCCGGACTTCGACGAGCTCGTCGGAGTTCTCCATGGCCACATGCGGGAGGGGAGGAGGGCGAGGAAGAAGGTGGTCGCCGTCGGCGGTAGGGTCTCGCCGGAGCTCCACGGCTGCGGCCGCGGCCACGGAGCTCCGGCGAGACCCTACTGCCGGCGGCGGGGCGGTGGGAGGTGCTGGAGGCGGGGGCGAGGGGCGAGGGCAAGGCCGGCGAGCTAGATCTGGAGGCGCACGGGAGAAGGAGGTGGGGGCAGGGACTGGGGAGGAGGCGGGGGTAGGGAGGATGCAAGGAAGAAGACGATGCGGTCTGTGCGGTAGGGGGCGGAAGTGTGCAGGCGGAACTACCGCTCCGTGCGCACGTGCTAGTAGTGTCCAAAAAACAAATGTCCCAACAAGAAATACTAGCATAATTTACTCTTTTTGTGTACGCGTGAGGTGCCAACTAAAAATATACAACCAGCAACAGCTTATCATCCATATAAATCTTAATGATTACATATAACCAGGGCACGTTGAAATGAAGATGCCTTGTATGATGAATAGCTAACTTCAGCTTTCGAACTGGTATACGTTGACAATGTATCAGGTAGCTGTAATGAACGAAGCATAATTAGTTCTTAGTTGTTCCTATGCACAACATGATTATTTGAGATACTATCGATTAGAGAACCACATAATAATTTGATCAGATTGTATATTATTGTATTCTAGGAAATACTCTATTCATCACATTTAACATTCAACCAACCCAAGATAATTTGCACTTGCTTGGCTCATGGTCATGGATTAGGAGTTTTATTCCTAGTTTGAGAAATCAGATCGTAGTGGGATTAACAGCTATGTGCTGGACTTTGTGGTTGAATAGAAATAATATGGTGTTCAACAAGAAAAGTACTAATTTGGGGCATACTGGATCAGACAGTGGTCACGGTTGTCTAAAAAGGAAGAGAGAGCGGCTTTGAAAAGTGTATGCAAGCAGTTAGAAGTGATGGTGCTAGAAGTCTTTGGAAGACTAGGTTGGAGTTATCGGATGAGTTTACACTAGTAGAGAACGGACTTTTGGTTTGTATCATTTTTTGGCTTTAGTCCCGGCCATATTTGCGCTCGGGACTAAAGAGAGGATTAGTCCCGGTTGGAGTCACCAACCGAAACTAAAGTCCCCTGCCCAACGGCTAGAGCCGTAGACTTGTGCAGGAGGTAACTTCTAGTCCCGGTTGGTGGCTCAAACTGGGACTAAAGGGCGTCTTCTGGTCCTAGTTGGAGCTACTAGCCGTGACTAAACCTTTAGTCCCGGTTTGTGGCTTCAATCGGGACTATAAAGCCACCTGTAATCCAGGTTTGAACTACAAACCGGGACTACATGTCCCGGGCTATATAATGTCTCCTTCTTCCTCCCCCAGCCTGAGCCATTTCAAGCCCTCTGCCTGTTCTCTGTTCTTGCTCGTGGAAGGAGCTCATGCTTGCGGGATTGGTGAAGGCTTCATTCTTCCATCCATTCTTCAGTTCTAAAGGTTAGCAACTTCATCCTCTTATATTTCATCACTAGCATGGCTCATTTCGTGGTATAGAAATAGAGAAATTTATGGTTTTTAGATTGAGAATAATGGTGGATTTTTTTTATTTATATACCATTTGAGCTCGAAATCACTTGATAGTTTGAATATGAAGATGAATGAAGCTTATAGTAGTTCATCAAAACTGGTATGCACCTTTCATTGCCTCATTTCATGGTTTAGAAATAGAGAAATTTAAGGTTTTTTACATTAGAAAGAATGGTGGATTTTTTTGGATTTAAACACCATGAGAGGTCAAACTCACTTGATAGTTTGCAAATGTAGAAGAAGAAAGCTTAAAGTAGTTGATCAACATTAATCGAGTGTCCACCTTTTTTCTAATGTATACACTACTATAGATTGATTTATCACTGTCGCCACTTTCACTGTCGTAGCGATAGAAGCGACGGTGTGATACTTCCACCGTCGGTTGGACCGATAGGGAGGCCTCCTAAGGAAGGAAACCGACAGTTAAAACTTCTACCACCCACGGGTTAATAATAGATGCGGTAGTGGTATTTTCTCCGGCGTATGAAAAGTCGAGCCGTGTGGGATAGGCGTTATGGCAGCGTGCCCTACACGACCGTTTGGTGTACCAGCGGTAGTAAATTCAGCGTGAGTTATTTCCCCATTTCCGAACTACCCACAACATAGTTGCATCACTGTTACTTCTACTTCTCAATCTTCAAGGTTGGCGCATTATTCGTCTCTCATAATTTGTGTGAGCCATTACACGCCTCGCGTCGTGCCGCCGCCAGATCCAAAGGCAAGGGTAATGCTTTCGCACTTCACTGATTGATCTTTGTCGAGTTATTTTGCTCTTTAGTGATCTCATTACTAAGAAAGCTCTCATCCTACTGCACATTGATGATCATAGGCTCTTCAAAATAGAGGTGGCCCCCAACAACATAAACGCACTGGCCAGCCTCACAGAGGATGTCGCTCTCGATATCCTCCGCTGCCTCCCCGCCCGCTCCTTGCTCTGCTGCAAATGTGTTTGTCGCTCCTAAAACAGCCTCATCTCCGACAACCGTAAGGTGCTGCCCCAGACTATGGCCGGCTTCTTCTACGATGGTGATCACGGCAAGCGAAACTTCACTAGCATCACCGGTGAACGCCCTGACTTGTCCTTCTTGCCCTACCCCATTGATAGGTTAGCTGTCTTAGATTGCTGCAATGGCCTCGTCCTATGCTTGTCCATTGAGGCTGGTGGATTCCGCTATGTCGTCTGCTATCCGGCAACCAAGAATGGGGAAATAACTCACGTTGAATTTACTACCGCCGGTACACCAAACGGTGGTGTAGGGCCGGCTACCATAACGCCTATCCCAGATGACTTGGCTTTTCATACGCCTGAGAAAATACCATGGCCACATCTATCGTTAACCCGTCGATGGTATAAGTTTCAACTGTTGGTTTCCTTCCTTAGGAGGCCTCGCTATCGGTCCAATCGACAGTGGAAGGATCACACCGTTGCTTCTATCGCTATGACAGTAAAAGTGGCGACAATGATAAATCAATATGTAGTAGTGAATCCTTAGTGAAAGGATCGGCAAGTGAGCATACACATTGATTGAATATGATTTGGCCTTTGAACCAATGAAAACATTAAAAGATCAAATTCTTGCTGATTTTATTGTTGAGCATAGAATTGATGTAGAAGATGAAATTGGTTATATTACTTGTAATCCATGGAAGCTTTATTTCAACGGATCAGCTTGCAAAGACGCCCAAGGTGTTGGCATATATAGTCATTATTTCTCCTAATGGTGTTGTTAATGAGACATCAAGTTGATTGGATTATTATTTTTGTACTAACAATCAAGCCGAACATGAAGTTCTTTTGTTCGAATTAGAAATTTTGCAATCCATGGAGGTGAAACATGTTGAAGTCTTTGGAGATTCTTTACTGGTTATACAGCAAGTCACCACTGTGTTTCAATGTTTAATCTGGAAGAATCACTTAATGCATATCTTGATAAATGTCTTCACATCATTGTTTAATTTGCTGAATTCCAAATTCGGTATATTTCGAGGCATAAAAATAACAAGGCTTACATGTTGGCTCAATAAGCATCAGTCTATGACGTTAAAAGACAAAATTTCATATCGAAAAAAATCTGATACAAGAGGAACAAAGGGAAAGACGAAATTTCATATCGAAAAAAGCCGATACAAGAGGAACAAAGTTGTGTTCCGAATCATGCCCAAATTTATTCTATTAAGCTTAGGGCCATTTTAGGTGATTGGAGGATTACCATTATGGATTATTTACGTGATCCAAGTGCTAAAGCTAATAAAAGTGATCGACAGAGTGCATTTAAGTTTGTTAAGAACTGCCAAAGACTTGTTACTTAAGTGCTTAGATTCACCCCTCGTCGTCAAAGGGACATCGCTTTGTGTTGGTTGCTACAGATTACTCTACAAAATGGACTAAGGTTGTTCCTTTGAAAAATATGACACATAAGAAGGTAATTGAGTTTATTACTGAGCATATCATATATAGATTCAACATCTCTCAAACATTAACTACGGATCTGAGGGACATCTTTTGTGTCAAAGAAGGTGTGGTATTTTGCCAAATTATACCATATTATGCTCAAGCTAATGGTCAAGCTTAGTCAAGCAATAAGACTTTGATGAAGCTTATAAAGAAGAAAATCGAGCACAATCCCAGAAGGTAGCATGAAGTTTTGTTTGAGAAGCTCGGTGGCCTCATCTCATATATATCTAGACATGGTGCTCTACCAAAGTTACTCATTTTGAGTTGGTGCATGGACAAGAAGTTGTGTTGCCTGTTGAAATGAATCTAGATGTATGTAGATAGGCAAAATAAGATAATTTATCTATTGTATGTATCATGATTTGATGATGGACAATGTCGATGAGGTGACCGACAAAAGAATCAAAGCTCTGAAGGAGATTGTTGAAGGACAAAGGTCGAGTTGCCCGGTCTTATAACAAGAAAGTAAAAAAAGCAAATCTTTCCAAGTCGGGGATTTAGTGTGGAAGAATATTCTACCACTTGAGATGGAGAGCAACAAGTTTGCAAGTGGTCACAGGATGGGAAGGTCCATTCAAGGTGATCAAAGCAATATTCTAAAATTTATATATGCTAGAGACATTGCAAGGTGATTGTCTCGTAAGAGAAATTAACCAGAGGTATTTGAAAAAAATATTTCCCAAGTGTTTGGCAAGAGGCCTAAGTGCTCACCAGACAATGGTCGATACATGTACCGCCCTTAGAACAAAAATGGATGATGTATACATTGCCCTTAGATCCCAAATAGCCGATGAGTTGGACATCTTTGCTTTTTGACGTTTTATATTTTCAAGTTTGCATAAATCTCATATAAAAGTTAGGGGGCATATGTTGATAGGAAAAAAGGTTAGAGGAGGTTGGATGTGGACTTGAGAATTTGTTGGGTTATCAGAAAGGTCGAAAGTTCCGATTCCTATCGGAAGTTTTGATGAACCCAAAACTGTCACTTTATTAGTTGCCCTATGTCGGAAGTTACAACGTATGTCAAAAGTTCCAAAGTCTATATCGGGTCCCTCTCATGTTGTTCTGATGTGCGCCGTGAGGGAGGAGATTGTTGGAATCCAGTTTTTTGGATTCCGATAGTGTGATTCCCAGCTTCCGTCGATGTATACAAGTTTGATCTCCCAGGATATATGATGCAACATAGAGTAAATAAATGTATTATAAAAGTTTATATCATTACGAATTTAATGGTGAAAGCATCTAGGCCCCTAGTTGGATTTCGGTGATTAATGACAATATGGGATTACTATTACTAACGTGTGTTTTGCAGATGCAATTAAGTTAGGTCATGGTAATGGCAATTGATTGGGCAATCATGGTTGTCATGCCCCTACGATGAAAATCGTTTCGGTTTTCAAAGGATGGACGACAAGGTTAAGGATGGACTAGTTCTAAGTGTCGTTTGGTGTTGAAGAGACACTTAGAGTAGTTTAGGACTTTGTTTTTTCTTTGGCCGTACTATTAAGGGGGTTATGGACTAGTAGCTTGACCTAGGTGAGTCTAGTGGGTTAGGTGTGGTGCACACTTATCAAATCTAGCACTAGGTAGCTCCGAAGTAGCCCTTAGATCAATTAGAGAAAACTTCATTCATATATGATTTCAAGTTGAAAGTGAATGGAGGGTCAAATATTGACCGAACGCTGGTCCCGGTGTGACCGGACGCTGGCAGTAGAGTTCGGTTAGTTCATTTGATCAAGTGAAGTCGTCTGGATGCGACCGGACGCTGAGTGAAATGTGACCGGACGCTGGGTGCCAGAGTCCGGTCAACTCCAGTAAGGTTCCAGAGAGGGAGAATCCTGATCGGACGTGTCAGATTCCGGTTGCTGACCGGACGCTGAACAGCAAAGTGACCGGACTCTAGGCGCTAGCGTCCGGTCAACATCAGTAAGGTTCTAGAGAGCAGTTTTCGTGACCGGACGCGTCCGGTCAGCACTGACCGGATGCAGGTGAGAGTCCGATCACAACTTAACGGTTTAGTGGCGGGGAGAACTGACCGGAGCGTCCGGTCACCCCGCAGAATGCTGACTCCGGCACATAACGGTCCGTTTTGAATGAGGGGGTATAAATACTTTCTCTATTCATTCAAGGGAGTACTCTTGCCCATTTCAACAGCTAAGAAACACCCTTGAGAGTGCCAAGGAGAGCAAGAGTCTAGTGAGGTAATTGAGATTTGAGAATCCAAGATTAAGGCCTCATTAGTGAAAAGAGAGTAGCAAGTGTGCATCCACCCTTCTCATTAGTCTTGTTACGGTCAAGTGAGAGCTCTTGCTTGTTACTCTTGGTGATAGCCATCACCTAGACGGTTTGATGGTGATTGGGAGTTTGGTAATCATCCGGTGGAGCTTGTGGATGACCCAACTTAAATTGTGAGCAGTTGTGGGTGATTCACCGCGATAGAGTGTCGAAGAATCAATCCATAGAGAGCACTTGATCCTTGCGCGGATCAAGGGGGAGCTACACCCTTGCGCGGGTGCTCTAACGAGGACTAGTGGGGAGTGACGACTCTCCGATACCTCGGCAAAATATCACCGCGTTCATTCTCCTCTCTTTACCTTGAGCATTTACTTTTGGGCAATTCAATTCTTGTTTTTACATTCTTAGAATTGCCATACTAGGGTAGGATTAGAACTTAGACCCCGTTCGTTTAGAGAAATTTGGAGGAATCTGGAGAAATTTATGAGAGAAAATCAACTGTGAACAGTAACTTTGGTCTGTGAACAGTGAAATTTTCCCACCATCCGAACGAGGCCTTAGGGTGCTAAATTTTTGTACGGTAGATCGTTAGAATCACTTTCTATGCACAAGGGGTGAAGTGGACTAAGTGTAGGATTTAATTATTGCTAAGAATTTTAGAATTAGCCCAATTTATCATCTCTCTTGGGCATCTTGATCCTTTCAAATGATACCTATTTGGTATGATAAATATTATTTTTTTTAAAAATAAATTTTGTCAAACTTGGTATACTTTAACATGGTACTATTCTAGAGTTATATTTTTTTTGGACGGGAGGAGTACAGGTGTTACAACTATGGCAACCGGATGAACCAAACACTCCCTGCTCTCTATCAACTCAGGTCTTAGGTACATATTATATAAAATTTTTATTTAAATAAATTAAGTAAATACATTTTTTTAGAAACAAGTAAATATACATGTATTTTGTTACATAAAGATAGAAAAAAAAGAACTGGATGGGCCACTGGGTTCGGCCCAAAAGAAAGGGATCGTTATTATTCAATCAAGTCAATCAAGAAGGGAAAAAATATAAAAAGAAGACGCCTCCGAATCCGTCTCTGCCTCTCTCCTCTCGTTCGCTCTCCACCGTCAACCGCACGCCCACCCGCCGCCGCCGCCGCCGTTCGCCATGGGCCTCCTCGACGCGCTCTACCGCGTGGTGATGCGCCGCAACGCCGTCTACGTCACCTTCGTCGTCGCCGGCGCCTTCGCGGGCGAGCGGGTGCGCCCTCCCTCCCTTCCTGCCCCTCTCCCCCGACCCCCAGATCCCAGATCTGCCATTCCCTCTCCCCCCAAGGGTTGTCTCTTTGATTCCTAATCGGTTGTCTGTCGTCTGCAGGCGGTGGACTACGGCGTTCACAAGATCTGGGAGATGAACAACCTCGGGGTAACATTTCTCTCCCCAGCTTCCCTTTCGCGTCGTTGTTCCGTTGTTACCAATTCGTTGCAATTGTTCACCGGTCAATTAGTGAAGGAAATCAAGGTTGTTCTGATGATGAAACATCTGTTTGATGTGATCTGTTCTGGATTAAGGTCGCTTGCGAAAGAGAATGTCAATCGTTATCTGTGCGCGATTAGGTCGCGTGTTTGGAGTTGCCTGATCGCATTTTCTCCTTGTCCCTTTTGGAGTGCGGTCCTCTCCTCTCACCCACCCTGCTGAATCGCTACCCTGGACGGAAGAATACACCTGGTTGTGTTCCCATTTTTCTCAACTAGGATTGTCCTGATGCCACAGGTTTTAGATGTGATGATGCGCCATTGCTTGCCTTTAAATGTGGGGTTTTCAACTCAGTTGAGTGATTATTTTGTTTACCAGGTAGCGATACTTGTAATCATATTTATTTGGTTCTCGCAGTCACATAGTGTCTGTAAGTTGTTTTATTTAGTACAGCAAAGCGCCACATTTGGTACAGCGAATTAAGCATCTACACGATGTATTCTTTTTTGTCGTTAGTTTATTTAGGTCTGAAACAAGCATACGGAATTAGCACTGTCACCACCACTTTCATTTATTTCTCAATGTGTGTAGAGCACCTGCTTACCATTAGCTTTTAAAGGGCAAGGGAAAGAATAAAGCATTGAGACTTGCTTGAAATGTGCATATTCTGTTTTTGTTGTTCTTGATTTCTCGTTTCTGTAGAGATTTCATCCTGTCGTAATATGTGCAGAATGTGATGTAATAATTTTCTGACAAACATCTGGAGTTACTTATTGCCTAACACTCATTGGAAAATAGCTATAAGACAATCTGTGTTACCGTTATGTTTTACTATGGATGTCCATTTCAAACATTCCGTGATGGTTGCATTTCCATATCACAAGGCAGATAGGCAGCAATCATGCATGTTTGATGAATCAATGTTGATGTAGAGGAGTTATGTGGCTGCACAAATTAATGCGTAATGCAAAGATTATTGCCAGACCTAGATAAATGTTAACTTGCAATTACATCTGAACTTGTAGCCCTTATTTGTTTGATTAGTTAATTGTAATGTGCAACAGGAAAATATTTAGCGGAGTCAAATGTATTTAATTTATACATCATTTATCAATAAAAATTCTGTAGAGCATGTAAAGCTAATTATGAGTAGATCCCATCCAGATAAATTGATAAAATATGCATTTACCAGAGTCGAAAATATTTAGCAGATGCCACTTGTTTAGGTTCGAGTACAATCTAACAATTATGTTGCAGGCATAAGGCTTTTTAACAAAGTTACTTGAATAGCTAATCCAAAATGGAGCAGCACGGCCACACAGGGTCGTGATCTTTTCAGTTATTGATGGCATAACACTTATCGTAGTAACATGCAGCATGTCATACTATTTTAGTTGATGAACATTGCTTGCAAGCTTCTTGTTGTTTGTAACACTCACTAATTGCTGACAGCATGCATGGCTTCTGTTTCTTTGTACGGTGCATAAATAAAAGTGCACTTAGACATTTTCTTCTGTGTTTTGATTTGAAACCAATTCAGAAGTTGGCCTCAATGTTAGTTTTTTTTTCCAGCTGCATATATATAACTAAAGTCGAAAGACCCCTCATTGTTCACTTTACATGTTACACTGTTGTCAAAATTGTTCCAGATTCTTGGCTGACGATTTTTTGTTGTATGGAATTGCAGAAAAGGTACGAAGACATATCAGTTTTGGGGCAGAGGCCAGCTGAAGAATGATAAATTTTGGTCGCCATTTAGCTCCGGTTTAACCGTTTCATTTTGGCACAATAATAAGCGATGTAAACTTCTTACCCGGCTCCTGAGAGCTGCTTATTCATTTACTCTGAACATGCTGTGTGGGGATTTCGTGGTGCATGGCTGAAACCTGTTATTATAGAGCATGCAAATACAACTAGACGATTCGCTTGTTATGTTTATTCCCAGTTCCACGAAAATGCAACATTATCCTTATTTTAGTTTTCATCATTACCCGGAGCACGTATCCTGCCCTTTCAAAATGACTAGTAGTGCAGAAATTGGACTGCATCATGTCAATGCTTCTTTTTAAAGGTGCGACGTACTACACATTTTATCTTCACTCCATTTAAAGATAATATATTATGGGCGATAAAAAAAGATACGAAAACGCTCAGCCACGGGCGTCCATTGTGTTGTGGACCGGCCTCTAAAACACTGGCCTCTACAAGGAGTCCCTGCTCCGCTTGTCACGGCGTGGCTAAGCGTTTTCGGGCCGCTCATCTGTCCACGCTGTGCCTTTTAACCCACTGCTCCCCGTCCCCTGTCGGCGTCACGATGTGCCCTTTCCCCTATTGTGCCGCACACACTTCACCGGCTGTGCTGCTGCCCCATCCCCTGCGACTGAATGGCGCTGGACCACTGTGGTCGAGCGAGCAACGGCGCTGGAGTAGCAGCAATAGGCATGTGCCGACAGGCGTGAGCCTGGGCCGCGAGCAGGAGGTATGCGCGTCTGCTACACCGGCGAGCTCCATGTGTCGTCGACCACCTCCGCAACGAGGAGCGCCCATTTGTCCAAGTAGCAAGGTGACACTGTGCTGAAAAGCGCATGTTGCAAGCATATATTTTAAGTGTTGCATATGTTTCAGAGGTATGTTACAAATGTGTTCATGGGGATGTTGCAAAAGTAGATCAAGATGTTGCATATGTTTGAATGGTTGTACACGTATGTTGCAAGCTTTTGTTCACAATGTTTCATCTATTTTTATGTCGCAAGTGTTTTTATTTGGATGTTGCATATGTTTCACACATATGTTACAAATGTTTTATCTGTATGTTGCGTATGTTTTACAATGATTTTCAAGTGTTTTTGCATGTATTTCAGGTGCATGTTTCAAATGTTTCATATGCCTTTAGACGTATGTTGCAAGCGTTGCATCTGGATGTTTCAAAAGTAGATCGGGTGTTGCATCTCCCTAGTCACTTTTGTGTTGCCTCGCCTCGGTGTCTCCTCCTCCCGACGCTGGCTGGGCATCCGTTGCCCCCTTCCCCTCTTATCGATGCTAGTGACGTTTGGGACGGTGCGGAAAACGGCTGCAGGCGTGGACGTCCGGACCCTAGCAAGCTTGAAAAAGGTAATATATATAAATGCGACATGCTACACTTTTACACACAGATAATATTTGCGACGTACTTTCAAATTTGGAACGTCACATAAAGCTCGAAAAAGGTAATATAGATGCGACATACTACACTTTTACACACATAATATTTGCGACATACTTCCAAATTTGGAACGTCACATAATCATATCAGAATGATGGCGCAATTTGTGTAGAACTAAATCTAGAAGACTAGTTTTTTTATAAAAAAAAGTCAAATAATCAGATCAAAATGATGGTTTAGCGCAATTTGCAGAATTAAATCTAGAAGACTAGATTTTTTTTTTTTAAAAAAAGGAAAGAAGACTGGGAATTTCTTGCTGAAAAAAAGGAAAGAAGATGGGAATTTCTTGCTGCAAAAGAATAGGAAGAAATTTCGGAGTGGCAGCTAAGCGCGTATCCCATTGTTTTCACTTTCTGTTTTCATACACTTTATTTTTCATTTTCTGTTTTCATACACCCGTGTGTATATCGTCAGTATGAACTGAGTAAACAACTTTCTGTTCTCATACACACTCGTGTAGTATGAACGAGTGAACAACGTTCCCCTAAGAAAAAACAAATATACGAGTGTATATCTAATATGTACCATTAAATTAGGATTATTTAAAAGTAATGACAAATTAATATTAATATTAATATTAATATTAATAAGCACATCAGTGCTATTCTACACCTAGGTGACTGACCACGTATTACTGCCGAACCGCGTTCAACCAGTCATCAGTAGTATACATCAGTACAATACCACGCAATACTGAGCTACTGACTCGCGACTAATGAATAGTACTGAATATTATTCAGTATATCAGTTTGATGTAGAATATTATTTCTACACTTAGGGTGTAGAATAGCATGTGTGATAATAAGCATATATAAATTTAAATTTAATTGATTTTTATATAACTAATGACATGAATTTGAAATGGACAGTTATGTCACTTTTAGTTAATTAATACTATATGACCAATGATATGTAATAATAATATTAATTTAATTTGGCTGATCATGTTACTTACAATGTAGTTTTTAATAATTCGCATTCAAATTGAAAAGGACGAAACTATTTGAAAGTTATGTCTACGAGTAATTAGTAACCCGTGTTTTATCTCAAATATTAATGATGCATACACAATTTATAGGATTATTGATTTATAATCTATATTGTTACTATGATTATTGATTTATAATTAACAAAATGATTAGTATGACCAACAGTGTAGTTTTATTTATTATTTAGTATACTTATTATATTTCGATATAGATCTCACTACACAATTTATTTTTGTAAAACAATTGGATGGATAGCCGTTTTATATCAGCATCCGAGGATATTCGGATTCGTAGCCCTATCTGACAAAAAAATGATAAGTAGTGGCAGCTAGGTACGATACGACGCAAAGTCGGTTGGCGGACGGATCGAGTTGGATCGGGATTCGGGAGTTGATCGGAGCTAGACTCCGAGTCCGCGCCGCACACAACACCCGATCACCACATCCACACACGCTCTGCGGCTTGCGGCGCGCGAAAAACCTCGCTGGCAGCTCTCCGACGCCCGCGCGCACGCAACCCTTGCCCTACTTTTCCGCCGCCATATAAGCCACCGCACTGCCCGCCGCCGCTGTCGTCGTTCCAAAACCCACCCACAAGAAGCAAGAACCCAACACCCCACCCCACACAAGAAACCCTAGCTAGCTAATCCTCCTCCTCCTCGAGCGAGAGAGCGCGCGGCCACTCCGTCCACCGGTCCACCCCACTTCGACTCCGATGTCCAATCCCTCGCTGCCGCCAGCGCCAGTACCACCGATGGGAGGAGTCGCCATCTCCTCTCCCCTGCGGCGCTGCGCCCGCGACCCGGACGACGACGACGCCCTAGAGGACGGCGAACTGCGCGTCCTCGTCCACGAGTCCTCCGACGACGACGGGCGGCGCTACCTGTTCCAGCCACACGTCGAGTACGACCCTGAGGACTTCCGTCGTCCGCAGCACAGCTCCCCTCGCCACCGCCGCCCCCTCAACGCGCTAGATGCGCTAGACATCCTCCTCTTGGGCCCAGGCGCAGGCGGCGCCCTGCCGTCCCCAACGCCGTCGGGCGAGTGCGATTCGGAGGGGACGCTCAGCGACGACCACCACGTCGGCGGCATCGGCGGCGGCAACCCCACCGGTTCCGGTTCCAGCGCGGGGACCTCGTCATCCGCCGCCGCCGCTGCCTCTGACGCGGTGGATCGGGGCTGGGCCGCCACCGGCAAGCGAGGATGGAAGGCAGGGGGCAACAAGAACAAGAAGCCTGCCGCGGTGGTGGTATCTGATTCTGATTCTGATCTGAACACGATCTCCGCCGACGGCGAAGGTCAGACCGGGACCACTACCAGCAGCATCATCCCTCAGGCCGCCCCCGCCGCGCACCACCAACAGCCGCCTCTGCCGGAGCGAGCAGCCCAGCCACCGCGCGCGCCCCAGCCGCCTCGGCCGCGGCGGGAGCGGGCGACGGAGTACACGTGCAAGGAGTGCGGCAAGTCGTACCCGACCAACCAGGCCCTGGGCGGCCACGCCGCCGGGCACAAGAACAAGCAGAGGGAGGCCGAGGCCATGGCGGCCGCCATGGCAGCCGCGGCGGCCGGCGGAGGCGGCTGCAGCGGCGCGTCCCTCGCCGCCGCATTTCCTCTGATCCGCCGCGGCGGCAAGGCGGACCAGCCGCACGAGTGCCGCATGTGCGGCAAGGTGTTCGCCACGGGGGTGGCGCTCGGCGGCCACATGAGGGTGCACTACACCGGCCCCCCGATCGTGCCCGCCAGGAAGAACAAGAAGAGGTGCCTTGCTCCCCCGCCGCCGCCGACGCCCGCGGAGGGAGACATCGCGGTCGCGTCGCCACCGGCGTCGGCGGAGGTGGGACTCTCGCTCGCGCTGTCGATCAAGGCGGAGGAGCAGCCGTCGACGCCGCCTGCTGCGACGGCCGGAGGAGCTGTTAGAGTGGTGCGTCTCTTTGGCATTGACATCAGCCCGCAAGCGCAGGCGCCATTGCAGCAGCAGCAGCAGGGCTCCGGCGGCACGACGGAGGATTCTTCGCCCACCGGTCAGCAACAACATTAGACTGTCGCAAAGGAAGGATTTCGTATGGGGTCTCTCGCGTTTCTTAAGGAAGGTTTAAGTCTGTTCGGATATTATAGTAATTGGCATCATTCGGTTTCTTGATTTGGTATATGTAGATTGCATGTGAGATTTTAGTAGTTTTGATTTGGTAGATAGATACCATGCTTAGCAGATATAGTAGATCGAAAGTTCTGATGATACACATCTTTAGTAGTAGTTAGTATAACCCAAACCAAGAAGATAGACGAAAGGAACTTTACCTTTGATCTTTTTCAGATGTAACTCAACTAACTGAATGAGAAGAAGTGCTAGAGGCATACATATTTTACCAAATGCTTGGTCAGTGAAAAGTCTCCCCTGCCCTATCTTGTTCTTGTCTGGGTGATTCAAGAACAAACTCATAGTCGCCCTCTGGCGTTTCTATTCAGTATTCACGCGTACGTACATACCCAATAAATCAAGCTCCGAGTTTGAACAGAAACTGATGCAGCATGCATGCATGCCACAACGCAACGGAAATGCTGATTCTGAATCATGGTCTGTGACGTACAACTGTACAAGATGGCTATACCTATACATCACTCTAAGATGACGACAGCAGTGTGCCCCACGCACTTTCTCGCCTTGGGCTGGGCCCGTTCGGCTCGATTCGGTCCATGAGACAAACACGGGAGAAGGGGTGGATAGGTGGGCTGGGCCAAGTTTAGGGGACAAACACGTATATTTGCCCCCTGAACAGACGGCAGCAGCAAAAAGAAAATAGACATGAGCCAATAATTGGAACCCAGACTAAATAAAGGATAAAGCAATGCAAATTCTTGATGATTGTTTACAGACATCGTCTAGCAGCTTTAACTTAACATAAAAAATATCCACTGATCGAAACATGCACATAGGAGGATTACTGACACAGCAGAAACAAATATAAGACGGGAGCTGACCTATAGGTAGCACCAGATGGATAAAATCCAATTCATCCTAAAGTTCAGCACACCAGTGAGAAGGCAAATGTCAACAGCAAATAAACCAATGAGCAAAACTGCTAGTAGTACAAATAAATACAGAAGCATAAGCCATATATTTACGCCCCTGGTGAAAATATGCATCACTGTGAACTTGCTTGGACTCCTGCAATCTGCACCAATTGTGATGAAGGCCAAAGGTCTGTATGGCGGTTGCACATATATATGTGCTGAAGAGTGAAGACGGTGAGCGCAGCAATACTGGCAATGGCAACACCTACAACATCTCGTGTCAGTGCAGTCCGCAGAACGATTAATTATTCACTAATTTTACTTCAAGCAAGAGGAGGGTAAGGGTGTTCATCTCCTCCGAAGAGAAAATTCTCTGATTGTGTACATACCTTGGAAGGTAGGTTAATTCATAGTTTATTAATCATCTCCCTTCTCCATCGCTCCCATTCTTCGCATGCGTAGATAGCTCCTGGCTACAAGATGATAGATTGTACATGAAGTTGCCATTTCCTACATCCCCGAGATGCTCAGACAGAATGAGATCCTCAGGACCTTGAGGGAGACAAGGAGGAGAAAAAGGTCATATACACCCCTGGTCACAATATGCAACACTTCAAAAAGAGGGCTTCTGCAATCTGCACCAACCGTGCTTACATATAAATCCATCAAGGCCAAATCTCTGTATGGCATGTTGACACCTGCACGTGCAAATATTTGAGCTGAAGAACTAAGACGGTAGGTACAGCAGCACAGGCAGAGGTAGCATGTACAAGGTCTCATCTGCAGAGCAATTATAATTAATAATTACTTTATATACTAAGCGAGGGGAGGGTGAGGGTGCCAATTTATTCTCAAGACAAATGTGTACCTTGGAAGTGACCGATGAGGTTAATGATTCACAATCTCATCAACAATCATCTCCATTCTCCGTAGTTCCCATACTTCCAATTGCTGAGCTAGCTCCTTGCTCCAAACATGCCCATAAATCTCATCATCAATCATCTCCCTTCTCCGTAGTTCCCATTCTTTGAAACGCTGAGCTAGCTCCTCGCTGCAATCATGCACATAAAGATCACATGAAGCTGGCATTTCCGGCAGCCCTGAGATGCTTGGACAGGAATAGATTCTCAGGGACTTGAGGGAGACAAGGCTTCGCAGATCTGCAGGAAGTAACAGGAGGTTCGGGTAGCCCCCAAAGTGGAGCTCTCGGAGGGAGGTGAGAAGCTGGAGTGCTCTCTCCTGTTCTTCTGTTAGGGTGACCATCGGGCTCATTCTTTTTCCCCAGAAATCAAGGTATTGTAGAGATGTGAGCTGTTTGCAGAGGGACATGGTAAGGACAGAGGCGTCCCCAATAATCTCAAGTCTTTTCAGTCGAAACCAGATCTCACAGGTCCCTTTCTGTTGCAACAAAAGCTCCATCCATGGAGGTAAGCCGGAGGAGGCAGCTACTATGAAGGACATCAGATTTGGAATGGACTGGAGTCCCTCGATTAAAGCAAGCGACTCACAATCTATAATTTCTAACTCTGTCAGCTCCATGCAGTATCCCAGCTGTAGAGAAGCAAGCGACTCACAATGTCTAATGCTTAACTCTGTAAGTGCCTTACAGTATCCAAGCTGTAGAGATGTCAATTCTGGACTTCCCCATATCCCCAATTTGGTTATGGCAGGGAGGCAGGGCAGCAGACCGGACTGGACATTGTTTGTGAGATTTGAGATCTCAAGTCTGTCAATTGATGGAGGAAGCAGTTCAATCTGATTTCCACCCTGTTCCTGGTCCTGTAGCTTAGGATTCATCTCGATTTCCAAGCTTCGAAGACAGCTGAGGAACTGCAAGCCCTCCAATGCACCCAGGTGTTGACACCTCGAAATTGTCAACCTTTGAAGAGAGGTGAGGAATTGCAAACCCTCCAATGCACCCAGCTGTTCACACCTCAAAATTCGAAGCTCCTCCAAGGCCATGCACGAATGGAGCTGTACACACTTCAAATATGGGCTATCCATGAGGCTCAAGTATCTGAGGTAGGTCAAGCCTTTAGGGAAGTGGGACTGCAAGTTTTCTGGGAGATGACTAAGAGAAAGCACTTCAAGTGATGACGGGAGTAATCCAACATCCACGTTACGAGTATCATCGTCTTTAGTGCCGCTTGCTAAAAATGGACCCAGCTTTGGGCAATCATAGATATCTAGCACCTCAAGAGAGGTGAATCCTCCAAAGCCTCTCTTGCCACCATAAAACTCCAGATCTACACATCCATAAATAGTTAGCTGCTTTAGAGAACAGAGGATGTTAGATGGCACTTTCAGTATTTGGTCTTCTGCTGACAACGTCACTGCTGAAGCCAAACTGTTGCTTCCTTCCATTTCAGTAGGTTGACTGATCCATAACCATTTTATCTGTGGACAGTCACGTAAGCTCAATTTCTCAAGGGACCGCAAATGAGGAAGCATGTTAGTCAACCACCCCCCTGGTATGCCGGAAGAAGAAATATCAAGATGTTTGAGAGATGGGAGGGTGGGGATGTTTCCAAATGAACTGTTTTCCGAGGCAGCCTCTAACAGGATGGGTGGCTTGAACAAGTTAGAGCAATTGCGTATACTCAGAGACACTAAACCGGTGAGCTGGCTGAAACCTTCACTTGAAATAGAAATCAAATTTGGACAATTCCATATGTCCAACCATCTCATGCCCCTAAGATTATGGAATGCTAAGATCTGGTAATCCAACACACTCAAGTCATTGGATTTTATATTGAACGATTTGCCATCTATATTTATTGATAGTTTTCCTTTGATGGAAATTTTCCGTATATTAGCAGAAGGTGGAAGAGGATGAGAGATCATCAGACTAGGGCAATCATGGATGATGAGTTTGTGGAGATTAGATAGACACACCTCCTGCTTTTCTTGTGAAAGTGAAGATGGAAGAGCCATCAGCCCACTGCATCTTTCCAGGCTTGGCATTTTTATCAACTCCAACTTCTCCAGAGAAGGAACTGACAACTCTCTCACAAGATGCAGGTCCACTAACTTCAGCTCCTTGAGTGCCCTCACTCCTCCCAGTGGAAGGATTTCCCAATTGCTGCAATATCATTCATCTAAGTATAAGTATGCCAAAATTTGCAAACGAGTACAACTAGAAGCAAAATTAAAGAGTAGTAGTTACATTATATGAGGACAATAGCAGATGGTGAGTTTCCTGAGAGACGAAAACCATGACTGCTGCTCAACTTGGAAAAGAAAGTAACTCTGGAAAAGAGTGAACTCGTTCAGTTGGGGGCAGCCCTTGATCATCATTACCCTTAGATCAGAGGTTAATTCCTTCCCATAAGTACCAAGACATTTTTCCAATATTGGCATCTCAATCAAGATCAACTCTTCCAAGGAAGGAATTGAAATTTCTGTCAACTTCCACATCCTGATCAGTTTTAGCTTCCTAAGGAACGGAAGCATTTCGAGACGAAGAATTTGCCATTCCCAGCACTTCTCTAAATGAAGTATCCGCAGCATCTTAACTGACACATTACTGGCAAGCCAGGTTGGTAAGTTAGCACCGCTGTACCCAGATATATGTAGACTTTTGAGGTTCTCATGAGGTTGAAGACCCTCAAGCACATCTTCTGTTCTCCTAGCTGAACAAGGATCAAGGCCCACGCTGATATCGTTCCATGACAAGGACAGCTCTTGCAGATACTCTTTGTCTATCAGCCTAGCTCCGCTGGCCTGTTCTTTGGTCTTCACATTTTCAAGTTGAGAAATTTCAAGAGTTACAAGTTTGTTCATGGATCGAAGTTGTTTTATCTCAAATTCACCAACAATTCGAACCTTGAATTTTATTCCCTGAAGAGCGGTCAGCTTCCCTACACCAGCGATTTCTGAGTGCACTTTCTCATGGGCAACAATATTCCGTAAATTAATGAGATTATTCATACTAGTAGGTACAGAAAAAATGCATCCAACGCCGACGTTGAAGAACTGAAGGTGATAAAATTTTGTCAAAGCTTGAGAAGGAACAATATTCTTCTTAAGGTCTAAATTTGTCCTAATATTTGTGTTGGAGAACACACCGATAAATTCAAGATAGCGAAGATGATATGGATTTAACAAATCAGATGTACTGCTGACATCATTATGCGGAACATAAATCCTCACGACTCGTAAACTTTTTGACTTCATGCATAAAATGTGTAGGAACCTTAATAAATGTATGCTGCTTCGGCCAAAAACCATCAAGGTCCTCAATTTTTTCGAAAACCCAATATTCTCTAGTATGTTCTGAAACTTGTCACAGGGGATACTGCAATGTCCATCTTTATCATAAGCAGTAGTTATGATTGACAAATGGCGAACACTTGGTTGAATAACCCTAGAGTTGGATCCATTTATAGCAGCACACTCATTTAACGAAGCCTTCTGAGCCAATTCATGCATTAGGTCATGCATGACATAGTCTGAGTCAACCTTTTGGAAAAAGCCAAAATCCACTAAGTTATCCAAATATTGCATCCCTGTTTCCTCCAATCTCTTGGTAGGGTCTTGGCACTGCACAAAATTTTGTGATATCCAAGCATGGACCAAATTTTCGCCATTAAATCTATAGTCCTCTGGAAACAGAGAGCAGTATTTGAAACACTGCTGCAGGTGGACCGGTAAAAAATCATAACTGAGCTTCAACATAGGTAAAATACCATCAATATCTTCTTGAAGAGATTTCCATTTGTTTTGAACTGTCCTCCAGTGCTCGTAGGTAACATTTATGTTCAAAAGTGCACCGACACTACGTGCAGCTAGTGGAATACCCTTTAGTGATTTAACAATCTGCTGCCCAATGGACTGCAAAGTAGGATGGCCCTCATGGCTTTCATTGCCAAATGCACATGCCTTGAAGAACTGCCAAAACTCCTTTTCGTCCAGACCATTCACTTGGACCGGATCCATTGTTCCTATCATTTTCGCAACTGATGGTCTTCGAGTAGTTGCTAAAATCATGCAGCCAGGTACATGATTGTGTTTTAGTGGAGCTAACAGGCTAATCCATCCGCCCCTGTCATTTTCCTCCCACATGTCATCAAATACAAGCAGGAATCTTTTATTTTCAATATTCTTCAGAAGGATATCCTGCAGCACATTGAAGTTGGTGATTTTTTCGAACTGTTGTCTATCTGTACATACATGCTCCAAGATCTCCCGTGTTAGTCTCATTGTGTCGAAGTTAGTGGACACACAAACCCACATTCGCAGATCAAAATGTTCTTTGATTCTTTGATCACCGTAAACAAATCTTGCAAGTGTCGTCTTCCCAACACCACCGATGCCAACTATAGGCAGAACATGTAGATCGTTAGATTTCCCATTTATTAACAACTCTATTATCTTATCCCTCTCTACATCCCTTCCGTATACCTTGTCTTCAATTGGAACAGAAGTTGTCAGGCGTGTGTTTCTGGCCACATACTGACCCTGCTTTGCCACTGGAACGGGGCGTGAAATCTCTAGCTGAAGAACCTTCCTCACAGAATTGCCAAGTTTGTGTAAATGATTCACTATCCCCTTGATGCTCTCAGAAATGTCAAGTTTAATCTCATGAGGCAGCATGGTGCTATGAGTTGGATCGTCATCTCTCTTCCTTTTTCTGTCACGTGAGCACCAACTAACAACTAGTTGAAAAGAAGATGGAGTGGAAGAAGACACAGAGCTCTCTGCAGGATCTGTACAACCTTTCCCTGCATAAGCAAACCCACAGGTGTTACACGAACAAGCTAAAGAAAGACACTTAAACAAAAGCAGCCATTAATAAATAATAACTGACACAAGTTAAAACATGAAGAAAAATATCCTATTAACCTAGTAGGCAAGGCGAGAAACATGGAAGACGAGTACAAGACAGCGGTGATCTGAGTGAGGTACCTTGTTCGATCTGTTGTTGGAGCCGATAGTAGTCGAGCTCGTCCATCACATCTTCGGCATCATAAAGCAGCTCTTTGAGCTCATCCAGGGACCAGGCCAGTGGCTTGTTGTCAATCGTTCTTCCCTCGGCTGCAGCAAGCACCATCTGTACATTCCTCATCTCAGACTCAAGGTTCTCCACATCTTCGGCGAGCCCCGCATCCTGCACCCACGCCTCCATCTGTCGAGTGAAGAAGCTCCCAAGGATGCTCTCCACCAGCCATCCGGTCGCAGCATCCACCACAGTTTCCACCACCCCCATCGATCGTCTCCCAGTGAACCTATATGGCGACGGGCACAAGGGAGGACAGATGAATTCAGAGGAATGAACTGGTATGGTGTGTCATTTTTGTGGCTGTGCAGTTTACAGAAGGATAGAGGGTCAGGTCTAGGATTCTAGTCTTGCGTCCACAGCTGCAGTACTAATGAACTGGCATCTTCTCTTGTGTGGCTAACAGCACACTCGTCTTTAATGATCGGCATCGACCCTGTGGAAAATACTAGCTCATGATGTCTTGTCACATACCCAATTGGCCAGTACAAGATAGATGTCGCTGCCTGGTTTGTCACAGGACTGCTGGATTGCACTAGTCTTCACTATAGCTAAGTCACTGTAGCTTCCCGTCATCGTCTTTGACAAACCTGCAGGCTAAGGGCATCACGAAATGTTGTCACAAGCTAGTATTCTGTCCAAATCCCATCAAGCACGGCATTAGTGGAGTAATTCTTTGTTGAAATGTGAACAGGTAGACAGCGTCAGTTGAAACAGCGCCGCCCGCAAAATCATTTGGGAGGGAGCGAGCATGAGAAAGAGAGGGGTCAAATCAAGAGCTCAGCACTTGAACTGATTACCTGGCGATGGCGGGCAGCTCGTGCCGCGGCTGTGTGGGTTTCGGCCGGGGAGGGGGCACCAGCGGCCAGCGGGTGACGTCGACGAGCCACAGCCTCAGCCCTCGTTCTCCTCCGTTGATTCATTCACCCTAGGCCCAGACACAGGCAGCGAGGTCTCCTAGAGTAGACGGCCGCCGGCGGGGCGGGAGGGTGCGGGTGCGGGTGCGGCCGCGCGGCGCCCTCCGGCGACCGCCGACCGGCGACATGGGCGGGTTGGTGGGCTTGACATGTGAGGCCCGCGTAGGAAATTCCACGTAGGCAGGCCGTGGATTCGGATGATCGATCAAAAGTGGGACCAGGCCCAGCGCGGCAGGAAGCCGCTGTGCTTCTGCTTGCTGAGGAAATCCGAAATCATGACTTTGTAAATTACTCCCTCCTAAAACAAACCTGACTTATCAAGGATTCATTTAAATTTTATTAATAAATATATAAAAATATTTATATTTATAACATGTAATAAGTGTCACTAAATTAACTATGGAATATATTTTCTCATAATTTCATTTGAAGATGCAAATATTTGTACTATTTTCTATAAATCTAGTTAAATTTAGGATTTTGTTTGAATTTTGAGAAGCGAGATTTTCATTCTTTTTACTACAGAGGGGGTATACATCAGTCACAAAAGATGTACTAACAATCTAGTATATATTAAATACTAAGAAACATGCCCAAGTGCTATAACGGGATGTACAATTCGTTGAGCATTGCTCGTGCCTATAACAATTAGCAAGCTATTTTTATTGGATTTAAGGCCAACTTTAAATTAAATTGAATAAATTCCGAGACCCATAACAAATGCTGGTCCAATAAAGGATCATTTCCGTGTAGAGAATTTAGTCAACTTAAATAAGTGGCTATTGTGTGCACCAGTTGCGAGTTTAAAAAAGTAGAAGGTGCGTCACATGTCTGCATGAGCGCTATGACACGGATGAGTTCGGGCATCCAAGCCATAACATGGGTGGTGCGGTGTCGACAAAAAATTTGCAGCTCCAATTCCAAACTCAAACGAGAAGTGTGAGAGCAAGAAATGGATGGACAACGGGAAGAGTGACAGACGGAAGATTTTTTTTTGCTCTTTATTAATGTAATATTATAGGTATATAGATTACTTGTTGAAGGTGAGCCTCTACATTAACGCTCACAAAATAGGCTAGAACCGGTCATCAGGTTTCTTTTGTCACAAGTCACACTAATGCAGTTATGTAGCGACAGGTCAATACTATTAATATCAACTTGAGTTTCACATTGTTGATCCCTAGTAGATCTCACTTCAAAGCTCTACAGCTATTCTTGAGCATCATGGTCTACGCTTAAACATTCGCTTAGGACATTCAGAGAGTGCAATCCTCCACTCTGAATGAGATTCAACCTAAAATCTTCAACCTAGCGTGAGATTTTGTAAGAATCTCATTTTGTGTTTCATTAAACATTTGCTTAGGACATTCAGAGTGTAGTCCCTCGTAGATTTTGTATTTCTTTTTGTATTTTTCATTTAAAATAAAGATTTTAGAACCTTTAGCCGTCCTAAAATCTTTATTTTAAATGAAATACAAAATGAGATTCTTACATAAAAGATACAACAAACACAAAAGTTTCAACTTAGCATGAGAATAAAAAAATTGTTGCAGTCAGTTTATGGAAGAGTTGGCACCTCTAGTAACGCCCCCATATATGACAAGAATCTATATAAAGATTTAGCGGTGAATTCCTGAGACTTTTCCAAGTCCGACGACACCATGTGAGTAGAATGGATTGAGATTAATCATGCTCACAGCGTCCCAAAAGTTCCTCCCATTGTCACACTAGCCAGTACTCCCTCCGTCCGAGAAAGGATGCGACTACATAACTGATCAATGGTATTCTAGTCAATGGTATTTACATTTATGGCTCCAAATCAGTTTATTATGAAAATACTTTTTATAATTAATATAATAATATTTATTTAATATTATAAAATATTAATATTTTTTTTATCTATAATTGATCAAACTTAAAATACTAAAACATGATATAGAATTGCATTCTTTTTTTGGACGGATGGAGTATCTCCAAACCATATAGGCTTCTTTTGAGTCCAATCCTCGATCCATTCCCCCTGTTTGACCCTGAGTCAATGTTACACCTAAAATGAAAAAGGAGGCCGGTAAGTATCACGTGTTAGATTATTGGTTCGATAAAAAAAGGTCATGTGAACGCCGTACGTGTGTGCAAATATGGAACTTTTTTTAGCATCACAGACAACGCCCCAGGCCCATCTTTCCAAAATAAGGGGAAAAAAAGGGACCAGGCTCGTCAAGTCATGCTAGTATCGTTTAAATAACCTTTGTTTTGGTTTGGGTAGCCGTGTGGTTTATATTTACATACATTTAGTAATTATTAATTAATCTCTGCACGGTTTCCCTCGCCAGATCTGCACCTCAACAACTGGCCCGGCCGGGTGGGTTCAGTTTCAGTATGTAAGCTCAGCTCATCTCCACCTCGCCCAAGCAAGACCATCCATTCATATGCAGCTTATTCGAGCAGAGCTTCCTTAGCTTCTTCTTCTCTTCCTCTGATCCGATCGATCTGATAGCAACACCGTGAACGCGCGAGCGAGCGCCGTCGTCTTTGTGTCTCGAGAGCGAACGCCGCAGCGTCGATCGTACTGCAGGTCTCCCTCTTCCAGGTTAGTGCGTGATTCATAAAATTTTATTTTGGCAACAATGATCTCCATCTCCATATATATGCATGGTGGCCTTCATATATCGGAACTACCGGTTGATACTTCTGGAGTAGGCTGGGATCGATCAAATAGATAGGTAGATGCATCTGTGTGTGTATGTGTACAACGTTCCCTTGACTGTATTATGACTCCTCTCTATATCTGTTCATCACTGCAGTTGACCTGTGTTCATTAATCAATGGTTCATGGTCGTCAACTTGTGATATACTCCTTCCGTCCTTAAATAATTGTCGTTTTCGCTTTCCAAAAAAAAACTTTGACTATATATATCATTAATATTTATGGTACAAAATTAATATCATCAAATAGATCATTGAATCTATTTTTATAATAAATTTATTTGGAGAAACAAATGTTGAACGCATTTTCTATAAATCCAATCTCCTTTAGCCCATATATATCTCTACTAGTGCATGGCAGGTATGGCCATCCCTTGTTTTCGGGGATATCAATTTGCCTATATATGCTGCGTGCTCCAAATATATATGTACTGTACTTAGCTTTACAAGTGTTCAAGAGGCGCTTGGTTGGAGTGTGACCCAATCATCTAGCTAGAGATCATATTAATTAGCTAGCTATAGCTCTGCAGATGATACTATTGTCTTACTTATCTGATTACTCAACATTATATTCATCAGACACATGACTAAGACATAACTATTATTCTGCTTTCATGGATACACTACACCACAGCCCAGATTTAGCGTCGCCCGGTGGGTCGTTATAAGCCGTTTCAACGACTACACCACAGCCCAGATTTAGCGTCGCCCGGTGGGTCGTTATAAGCCGTTTCAACGACCTACGACGGTCGGCCGTTATAAATCTATAACGACACTTATATCTGCCGTTGATACTTGACGTCGTTATAAACTTTTAACGACGACCGACCGTCGGACACTATGTAATAGATATAACAACCAACTGTCTAACTCTTATTATAAACTTATAGCGACAAACTGTCTGTTGACATATATTTATAGTGACCAACTACCTAACGCTAGCTTACAAAAAATTAACCATATAACATCATTTATTTATATTTTAACCATACAATCAACATTAACCATTTCAGACATTAAGACACACACATGAAACACATAAATTGGAACAAAGCTCACAATTGACAACATATGTCATCATTGTCATTGAAACCATCAACATTTGTACTTGTACAATTTTTCACACGAAATACAAAGGCAATAACCAAGCTAGCTCATTGAACTACCTACACGAAATACAAAGGCCTGTACAGCTCACAACTCATATGTTTTGCTCATGCAACAGAATCTTGTCACTAGGAAGTCATGAACAAAAATAGCCACCATGAGCACCTTGATCCTCTTGCTGCAATTTAGAGATAGCCTCATCAAACACTTGCAAAGAGCCAAAGAATACTTGATCAGGAATAAAACTCACATGTGCAAAGGTGTTGTCTTTGAAAAAAAAGTGCAAAGGTTTTTTGGCTAGGTTTTTAAGCTTCTATAGAACAACTGTTATTTATTTGAAGATTGTCAGCTTATTTGAAAGAAAGACAGGAGCATATTGAGAGCCTAGATAGTCCAGTACACTATCAAGTATGCACACTTGTTACTTAATTATAGGCACCTTCACCTATATGTGTAACAGAACTCACCTCTACTATTAGT